AGCTTTGTGTATTTCTTCCAGATCTGTGCAGTAATCCAGTATGAAGCTTTGCCTCTGTGCAAGAGCTTACTGTAATAAAGACCTGTCACTGCTGCTCTCTCTCCCCTTGTGCAGGGTGACTGGTCTGGTCTCCGCCCCCTCATGTAGTTTTCTCCATGCAGCCTGTAGTGGGTGGAGCCTGCTGGGCCTTTCCCACAGCTCTGCTCTCTGTATGGTTATGTACAGCATAGTGATGATGTCATTGCTAAAAGGTACTATCTGGCTTTGCAAAGGCATTTTGGTGTACGCAAAGTAGATTTATATCCCTTATGGCTATTGATCAATTTATTTAAATTGAAAGTGTTTGCGCCCAGAGCTCAGCTTTAAGGTGGGTAGAAAGCCTAAACATTTTTTACTTTAATGCATTCCTTGAAACCCAAATGCAAACATTTAGTATATTGCAGCTTACCAATTTGTAGATGTGATGGCTACATTCGACTTTTTTTTCTATTCGAGTTTTCTTTCTTCTATTTTCATCTGGTGATCAGCCAGTCAATCTGTTGTTTTTCAAAAGCGCAAGCTCGCCAGCAGAATGTATCAGTTTAGATCGATGAGACAAACTACAGTATGTAACACTGGCAGGGGTGATTAAAATGATCAGCTTTCATTTATGTAAAATTTTTATCCCAAAAGGAAAACAAAACTGTTTTCTGTAACTTAACCAACTGTGATCAATCAGCACAATCAATCCCCTCACCTTAACCTAAATAAATAAAAAAAATACCCCTTGTTGCTTGCTGAAGACAAAAACAGTGGATCACACCTCACAATCTCAATATATTCACAAATTGCCAGAGCAGCGGAACTCTCTAAATAATAATTGTTAACAAACATAAATACTTCTGTGAAAAATATATAAGTGACCCCCAAACCCAAAGTCCATAAACAATCCCATCAGTGACGTGTATCACTTCCATGAATATCTTCTTCTTTGATAATGTTCAGTGCTCCTCCATCACACCAGGCTAAAAACCTGCTCACCTCAAAAAAAAAAAGATAATATGCGCTCATCTGGGTGTTTTTAAACTCCTCAGTCACAATTACATATCTTCCTCTTATCTCCTCTCGCCTTCCACGTACTCTGACAGCAGGCCCAAAATGATGTGATGCAACAGAAAGACTGAAACATAATGCTCTCTATATAACACTTTATTGAATCCCCAACTAAAATTGCACTTAGAGGTATAAAAACATAAAAAAACATAAAATGGGTCCACATCCAGCTCACCACTCCGCTAGCAAGATAGTGGTGGCGTGGTACCACAATACCGACTCTTCCTTCCTAGATGCATTGCGCCACGTTTCAGGGCTTCCGTCCTACTGAGGAAGCCTTGAGAGGGGGGGAAGCAACACGTCCAGGAAGGAGGAGCCGCTATTGTGGTACCATGCCACCACTATCTTGCTAGCAGACCGGTGAGCTGGATGTGGACACAGTTTATGCTTTTTATACCTCTAAGTGCAATTTTAGTGGGGGATTCAATAAAGTGTTATACAGAGAGCACTATGTTTCAGCCTTTCTGTTGCATCATATCATTTTGGGCCTGCTGTCAGAGTACATGGAAGGCAAGAGGAGATGAGAGGAAAATAGGTAATTGTGACTGAGAAGTTTAAAAACACCCAGATGAGCGCATATTATGTTCTTTGAGGTGAGCAGGTTTTTCACGTGGTGTGGTGGAGGAGCACTAAACATTATCAAAGGAGAAGATATTCATGGAAGTGATACACGTCACTGATGGGATTGTTTATGGACTGTAAGTTTGGGGGTCACTTATATATTTTTCACAGGAGTATTTATGTTAACAGTTATTATTTAGAGATTTGCACTGTACTAGCAATTTGTGAATGTTTGTTGTAACTGATTTTAAAGTGTGTGCTGGAGTTTGGCTTCAATTGTTGTTATTGTATTTAAATCTGCTAATACATTTACAATTACCCCCTGCTGTTGTGCCTCCTGTATTCATTCCTCCAGAACTGTGTCTCACTAATACAGAAAGTGTAATTGGTAAGCTGCACTATATAACATTTTTGGTTTCGGGTTTAATACTGCTTTAAGGTAAAAAAAAAAATGTTTAGGCATTAGTATTATCCCCTCACCCCCCTTTTTACTTACCTGAGCCAGTGCTTTGCCCATCTCCAGCATTTCTCTCTCATCACTTCCCAGTCTCACAGGCTTTGCTGAGGCAGTGGGAGCCATTGGCAGGGCCAACTTCCACTGTCTGTGTCTATAGACGTGAGAGCGTGCCTCCATGAATGCCCCCATAGGAAGTGGCTTCCTATGGGGGCACTCGTCGAAGAGGAGGAGCCAGGAGCAGAAGTGGGGGACTCAAGAAGAGGAGGTTTGCAGCCACCCTGTTCAGCAAATTAAATTCTTCTGATCAAACGTTTGTCTGCCTAATGTGTGTACCATACCCAAAATACACTAGATTACAAATACAATGTTCTATACAAAATAACAAAACCACCATTTGTTTAATATTTTATTTTTCAGTGTAAGGAAAAAAAACTAAACAGAAACATATAAAGAGAACAACAAAATGGATCCTATACAGAATGCCCCCTTCTATACATCCAACTTTCTGAATATCCAAACTGAAGCTATGGTGGAGCTTATCGCATCTGTCTACATTACATGAAGCTGGAGAGGTCACTATATGAATGGAGAACACACTTTGCTGTGTAAGCTTTGGCAATATAGACACAATACTAAAGCAGCCCTTGGGTAATTGCCTTACTTTTGCACCCAATTTCGAAAGGAGACACATACTGTATATTTACATATGTGCAAAAGTAACACAACACCAACTCACTGTTTTTCCCTTGTCTCTACTACATTTGCTTAGTATACGCTGCCCTCTACATCATGGAACTTTATTAATACACTGTAAGAGGTTATATAATAGTGTTACAGGTAACAAAACTGTTATTTGGCAAATTTTTAAATTGTACATTAAAAAAAGTCCACTAAAAAGCTTAACATGAAGGGGCGCAAGTTACGTTTGGTGCATAAATCTCACCTGTTAGCTTACAACTCTATCTACCTGGATAGTAATTACCATTACAATTAATCATTCTACAAGTTAAAATTCATCATTTCCCACCTAAAAGCCTTTTTTGCAACCTATAATGCACAAACATCTAAATGTTCTTGATCTGCTTGAAAAAAAAAATGTCAGAAACCAGCACTCTGCAGGGGGAGGAACTAACTGGGGAGGCAATAGTGCTAACTATTTTGATGCTGGCACCCAATTCATACCTCGTTGCATAGTGGAAACAAGCCTGCCTTCGAAACTTCCAAATACAGCAAATCTACAAAATATTTTAGTATCATCTGATGGACAAAGCCTTGTCCAATCTTCTTATTTCAAGTTCTCCGATTTTATGTACTCTAAGTTGTAAAGGTTTTTGTTTTTCCCGCAAATATACACTGTCCATGAGAAGAATGTGCTTTCAGTATATGCATATGTATTATCTGCATGACAATTCCATGTGAGTAATACAGAGATTTATGTGCTTTAAAAATGATCATGATCAGTATTAAAAACCAGCAAAATGACCTAATCTAATTGTGCGATTGGCACAATATTTTCACTTAACACAGTAAAGAATACTTCATCAACTAACACTCAATCTTATTTTAACTTGACATTATCACCTCTAAGCAGCAGGATTTGAGGCGTCAGCAAGCAAAGTTACTTTCTGAAAATATATTTAGTGTACAGCATGAGAATGAACCCTCTGACAGCTTACTTTTATACCTGAATAGAAATCCATCGTGTCTTGGCCCTAAAAGTTTCGGGCTGTAAGCCATAATTAACTGTACCATGAGACGTTCTAAATGTCCTAACCTTAGTTCCTTAACAAAAGCCATTGGTCTTATGCCCAGAAATTGCTGCAACTTGTGCCATCACCAGCTTTAATCTACAACCAGGGAGGGACTGGCAGGATGCAATTAAGAAACGAAATGGAGACACGTGACAATGCGAATACTATTTATGTCTCCAAGCAAGCTACACCCTGATTTAGTAATAATAAAAAGCATCTAGTATGTGTTTTATCTACAGGTCTTTACAACTGAAAAAGCAAGTTCTGTTCTTCTAAAAACCTCCCCCTAAGACTCACGGAAATTACCCTGAGCAAGTGGCAATGGGCGTGGGGGGGAATTAGTTTACTGCAAAATAAAAAAAACAAAAATGAAAAACTCAACCACACTACTACTACTACAATACTAATACAACTACCAGTACAAAGACATCTGGTTTAGTAACAGACAGCAGCTCTAAGTTTCTTAGTAGCATAAAGGTCTTTGTTATTTTGTACTGGAGTTCTCCATTGTGCTGCAATCTTTACAGTGACCTCAAGAATCAAAAAGTGAGTATATTCCAGTGGTTGGACCTTCAAGATCTCTCCCCACAAGTTCCTAACTCCCCCTCTTCTCCTGGGCATAGAGTATTAGGAGGAGGCGTTACCCCGTATTACAACTTACTATTATGTGCAAAAGAGGGGAACAAAGAAGCCTGTTAGGGTAATAAAATGATTTATAAAGACACATGGAGGTGGAACTATAAAAAGCTGTCCTGTATTCTGCCTGACCATGGAGAGAGCTAGAAATAAAGGATAAGGAATCACATACAGAAAACCGTATACAGTGAGAAAGGAAGCCTTAAAATCTAACTACCCTTTGGAACACAGGTTAATCTATCCAACACTTAAGCTTTATCCAAGGTAAGCGAATCCTGCATTTTTTTTTGTTTACATAGTTATATGAATTGTAAGTATAAAATAAGAAAAAGGCAAAGTGATCAGAAAACAAAGGACAGTAAAAATCTGGAGATAGGAGAGAGAAAGACAGGTACAGACATCTTGTTATCTCCCATGTGAAGTCTGGGTATGTTTTTAGTTTTCTAAGTAGCATAATTAGCTCTGCTAAAATGCCGTTTCTCCCTCACGCAGAGTGGAGGAGATCACATGTCCCCCGCGTCGCGACTTCTCAGCAGGTCACCTCCGTGAACGTTCCTGTTGGTCCTCCCCCCGACTCGCTGCTCTGGGAGAGGGTACGAGAGAGCGTGAGCGATTCCCCTCGCTGGAAAGAGAGGCGGTGCGGGAGCGAGACAGACGAGTCATACAAGAGGAAGCCACTGCAAATAAGCAAGAAAAAAAAAGTGAGAAATAGTAGCTGGAAAACAGAGACCTACAGTAACGTTTATCTGGTGCCATTTAAAGACCAAGTTCTCAAAGACTGAAACTTCAGTGTTGGATGGAGGCTAGTTACCAGTGCACACCACCTGCTTATAACTCCCCGTTACTCTAATGAAGGGACTTCATAACACAGCCTTTACTATAACTTTATGGCAAATTGCACACTTCCCCAATAAACTTTCCATAGAATTTTGAATGCTAAATTCATCCTAAAATAGACTGTAAAGATGGTTATGACTGTGTTGGGGAGTTTGCATCTCCTGCAGGGAGGTCTCCCCACTTGTGACTTGGTGCAAGTACTTGGTGCCAGTATAAACACCCTGCTGTCTGTATCTAAAGGGCCTTACCCTTTATTAACAAACCAGAAACTGAAAACCCATACCTTCATTGCTGTGTAAATTTCTATATATTCGCACATATATTAAGACTATACTATATTAAAAAAAAAAAAAAAAAAAAGAGCGTTTACTACACTTACCTTGCACAGGCAACCCTTCCACTCAATACAACAAAAGATCTGGTATTTCTCAATCACCAGATTATTACTATATTTACAAAGCATGTGTTTCTTCTTGTTCTTGGTTCTATAAACAGTTACACCTACAGTTTCACTCTCCAGTACACTTTCAAGCAAGAAAAAAAAGGAAGCCGCTCTCCATTAAAAACCTTGCAGATGATTATTAAAATACTCCAAGCATAAGCCGAATCACATGTCCCACAGCTCAAATGTGTTTCACTCCATCTGGAGCGTATTCATACAGTCAACTATGGATAATCTCCAGATGGAGTAAAACGTGTGGAACAGGTGGATTGGCTTGATTTTGGAGTACTTTATTAAACAAATGAAAGGTTTTTAATGGAGGGGGGCTTCCCCTTTTTCTTTCATGGAAGTGGACTTAATGGAGTGGCTGACTATTGCTGAAAGCCTACTCCTATTGTTGGACGAGTGAAGGGGTTCATGCCTATAGCGGGACTGGAAACTTTCCTTCACTCTACAGTACCTTTGTAGTGATCCTTTCCTGAAAGTAATATAGCTGGCCTGAGTCCAAAAGATTTTGATTTGGCCAATTCAGCAACTTTTACTAGTAATCATAGGAAGGCCATCAAACTAGATATTAAAAATTAAAGAATAACCCACCAATGACACACAATGTTGTTCTTAAAGCTCTTAAAGTTTCAGTGTCCAAAACAAAAGATTAGAAGGCTGGAAATAACCATATTTTTTATCTGGTAGTATAAAATGTTCTTCAGGCTCTTTTCAGCATTTCACAGCACTGAATATCAGATAAAGCATGTTGATAATGGGTGACAACACAGTGACATTCAACATAAATGTGATAGGTGGGTGGGGGTGCTGGCAACTTGGAAACCACAGGTCAGCAATCTAAAGTAGGCTAGCCATGCCAACAAGTCATAGGTGAAAGGTTATAAGGAAAGCAAGTCTTTACTGCATAAAGAAGCTTCAATGTGTTTGAAATGTTACATTGCTGGCTCCTTCAACACTAAAGATATAACTGGGTATTTGGGTGTAGGTTAACACAAATAACACAGTTTTGTACGTATAGATCAGACACACAGTAGGTGAGGTGAGTATCTCATGCCTAAGCACCTGAACAGAAGCTGGGTGAGAAGTGGCAGCAAGGATGCAAAGGACCAAGAGCAGTGAAAGAGGATGGGGTAATATTGATAAGTTCTTCAAAAGATACTTCACCCCATACTGCGCTTCTTATCCAGGATGTGGGGGACTGGGGAGAAGAAATAGCAAGAAAAATGAAAAAAACTCTGGAACTACTTATAATAGAGACTGGGTGGGGAGGACCTGTAGAAGGAGGACAAAGAGGGACAAACACCAGACATAGTACCCTCTGACTTTTGTGGTAAGATTTCCACATACTGTATGTATATTACAGTATTTCAGTAGTCTGGACCTTGGAAAAAATATGAAAGAACCACCAAAAAGCTCATCCATTTTCCAGCTGGTTCCTTTTGTGCCACTGCAGTATTATATATGATTTTAGCATTATCCAAGTATTATGTATGGATAACTGACATATCTCAGGTACAAGCATCTACAGAAGGTCCTCGATAGGACTCTAAGACAAGTATAACATTTCTGTATGTGCTTGGTTTTTCAGTCCTCCAATTATGAGAAATCATTGCTTGTTAGGAGGGGATCACTATCCATTTACACTGATCACTGAAAACACAGTTACTGCAACAGCTGGGCACAGACTCATTAGCAGGAGAAATCTATCATGAGATTTTATTGAAAAAAGACTCAGCATAACTTCAAAGAAAACAAATGCGTAGTCTGCAAATTAGATACTTGGAGCTGTCACCAATAATTTCTCTAAGTTTCTTATATGAAGTGTTTTTTTTTTCTGATTATATACTTATAGGCACTGTGGAACTATTATAACCAGTGATCTTATGGGGGGCAAATAGGCCTCCAATGATATCTTAAAGCCACTCATTCCTTTGAGTATAGTTTGGTTGATTTTAATATATCCTATACCTTTATTGCTAATAACAACGGATATATTTTTTGAAGAAAGGACTTAAATGGGAAATACTTGGGATCAGTCACTCATAGAAATGATGACTGCACGCAGAAGAGAAGAAATGAGACAATCTGAGATGGTTTTATGGCAGGCAGGAGACATGAGATTTGAGAGATGGCAAGGCATGTTTATCTGGTTATTTCTTACATAAATTATACAAAAAACAAGCATTCTAAGATACCTACTTTCTATAAATATTCTATTTTAAACTATTTGCAACAGTAACACAATCTTAGAAGAAAAACATCATCTGAGAGTACAATTTTATACTCTTACATGAAGAAAAAAATTCCTGCATAGAAGTTACATATGTAATTGGACTGATACCCTTTCAAATTAGTTGGCTTATTAGAAACCTGAAGTGGGCCTTTTTCGTACTACCCTGGATCCCCTTTACTCCCCCACTATATGACCACTAATAGAATTGTTTCACTGGAATTTGTTATATATGTATATATGTAAGTCTTGAATGTCTTGTGGAACCATAAATAAAGAATTAAAAAAAATAGTTAATTGGATTTTACCAATAAAACAAATTGGACCCAATATCCAAGAGATTTAGCCACCATTCACCAGACTTACACTTAGACATACACAGGGGCGGACTGACCATTTGAGCACTCGGCACTGCCCGAGGGACCAGGGTCAGTAAGGGGCCCCATGAAATGCCACTAGTACCTTTCATAGGCTTGTTTGGGTGTGCTTTGAGTGTGGGCAAGGACACAGGGGCCCCATGATCCCCTATTGCCTGGGGGCCCCATGAGTTGTCAGTCCGCCCCTGGACATACACCTTACACTTTGACATCAGGGTGAAAAAGTACTTTATGATGATTATATATAAAAATTTGACAAACTCTGTTCAAAATGAACACAGAGAAAAGCACAGAAATTGTGTCATCAGTATGATAACACACTACAGAAATAAAGCACATACAAATAAAACAGATGAATTTAAAGTAGAACTATAGGCAAAATTTTTTTTTTCCATTTTGGATAGCGTATGAGAGGGTTATAACCCCTGTTAGTTAATTTTTTTGCCATCTGTGTCCCATTGGGGAGATTTACCTTCACTTCCTCTCCCATAGTCAAAACAGGAAGCGAGAGAAAACCCTCGAAAAAATTAAAGGAATTACTTGGGGGCCCCCAGGTCACCAGAATCCCATTGGAAGATTTCCCCTTCTATCGCTTTTCTGGTAACAACCCAAAATTTGGGGTTTTACTTTCTTTTTCGATGATAATGGTAGACAAGAGAGAATCTCCCTAGCGGGGGGTGCACACTGCAATAAAAACCTGACGGGTTCGAATCCCTCTGCACTCTATCCAAAACTAAAAAAAGTTGTGCCTTTAGTTATACTTTAAGCAAAGAGTAAAATGCAAAGTGTAGTAACCTATTAAAATTATCTTTACTAAAGCCACACCAATTGAAGATGGCTTCTCATTAGTTACTATGGATAACGAACTTTGCTCTTTGAACAGTTTTGTTCTGTGTGACTGTAAAAGTGAATAAGAACTGAAACAATACTCACTGTATCCCATTCCCTGTACAAAGTATTTGAATGCTTCTGCAAGCTTCCCAGGCTGAAATTGAATAGAAAAATAATAGAAAATACATTTTTAATTGTGAACAGAAGAGTCTGGTTCATTCAAAATATGTGTATCCTCAGACAATGAAGCACCACAATGACCTAAATAAAACAGTGACAATAAAGAATAACAGGTTTAGGTTATAAAGGACTGTTTAGTCTACAGCAGAATGGATTACCTTTACTGTACGGACAACTTCTCCCCTATGCCTAGGTAGAGAAGGTAGGCAGATAGTTTATGTGCTATGGCACCCATATGTGGTCACAAGTGGTGGGCTCTGCAGTAAAGCTAAAGACAAGACAGGTAGGGTGTGTAGCAAACTGGCATGTAGAGAACAATGACCAAGCTACTCATAACCTGCTTCATCTCAGCCCTGACACTTGCCCCTTGTAACCATATTTAAGCAACAGAACAAGCAAGTACCATGCTTGCCCTTTCATACTGGGTAGTGGGAGCAACACTTTCTGTGTAGTAAAACAATTCATTTCATTTACTAGGTTACAGCAGAGCTCAGGTCTATACTGTATGTGCTAATGTTGGCATATGTATATGTAATAAAATAAAGGAAACCAGATAGAGAAAGAATCAATAGTAGTTGACATATTTTGTGACTGGGTGATGTCATGTTAAGGTTCTACCTTGGTAGTTTGCAGGTCAGATTGGATCGTAGGATCATGAAAGTGTCACCTAGGATTCTCACCCATACAAGGTGAGGGGCTCCAGGATGTGTTGTTGTCTAGAGAAAAAACATGCTTGTTTTTTTCTCAGGGCTATGTAAGCACTTGTTTGGGTCCTGGAGCATGAAGGCTTTGTAGAGACTTGTTAGGTCCCTGTTTTGTGAGCAACCAGCTTCCATTGGTTGTGCCGCTGTGCGCAATCCCTTTTAGTTTGGGAATAACAGTGGCTCAAGGCTTTATTGGGAAGGAACTATATGAGTTATTACAGTTGGGAGCAGTTAGAGTTGGTGCATGTGTGGATAGGAGCCTGTGCGAGCATGAGGATCCGACAAGGGCCTGAGGATTGAGGCCAGAGCAGTGGCACTAAATTTGAAAGCCAGGAGGCTGATGAGAGCCTTCATTGGTTGTAGAGATGCTGAAAAACCCCTGCATGGGCGGGAAAGCCCTAAAAGAAGGATTTGGAGAGCAGACTGCATCCCTGGAAGCACAACAGTGAGCTAATTCCCACAAAATATGTAAATAAAAGATATCACCATATTAAGGAACATTTAGATAAATAATGCCCAGCAAATTTTCTGAACCAATGTAAAAGTTTTGCAATACAGAGTTCTAGAATACAAATAATTAAAGAGGATTTCACTTTTATAATGAAAAAAAAATTTCACAAATTGTAGCAGTGTATGTTAACCTTAGGAAATGAAAGACGCTACTGATTTCTATATTCAAACCAAGCAATGGACCATATACTGAACGTCTAAACAAAAGGACTGATGTATAAAAAGGTGTGATATAGGGCATTTCTTCTTGCCTATAACAAATCCTTGTTTGATTTTCGAACCTGCACTACAGAAATGACAGCGGACTGATTGAGAGTTTAAATCTATAACACAGTCTCACATGCATAATCTCCAGTAGGTTTTTAGGGCCGTGTGCCAAAATGGAAAGGAGAATCTAATTGGTTGTTGTAGATAACAACTGGCCTTTCTTCAAACACTTTTTGGCATGAGTCCCTCTTTCCTTCAAAACAATCTGTTTTGTAAACCTCCGGTCCTGGTTTGAATTATAATGACGACATTTCCAACAGCTCCTGGATTTAAACCAATTTATTTCTATGCTGCAATTCTACTGTGATTGTTGTATGAATGCAGTGAGCACAGTTGATGGTTTTCTTCATTAGATGATGTTTAATAAGAGAGTTTATTACTTTATTACCTGTGTAATCTGTGGCTGTCCGCCAGAATCCGCCATCTACAATACAAAATATAATTATAAATACAATCCTCTTATACGAACAGCCTGTCCATTTTGCACCCTTCACTCTTGTTGAACTACAATCTTTGATTATTTGCTAGTCTTCCAGAATGTGCATGTGTATGTTTATGCAGTGTTTTCACGGATGTAAAGAATGTAAAGTTTTCAGCAAGTGCACACTGAGTACTGTAAAGTTTATCTAAATGTAATTCTTGGATCAACATTTGTATTTGCTTGATAATTCACAGTAATATGATGGTATTTTATATACCATTTTCTAGATACTCCCTCTAGTAGCTCTCTGCATGTATGGCAACTGCAATAGGCAACTTCCCTTCAAGGCCCATTCACACTATGGGGCTGATTTATTAAAACTGGAGAGTGCAAAATCTGGTGCAGTTCTGCATAGAAACCAATCAGCTTCCAGGTTCTTTCCAGCAAAGTTTAAAGCAGTCGCATTTGTAACTTTTTGTTTGGGGGGGTGACCTGGTTTTGACAGGTACTCGCTCCCACTTCCAGTCAGATGCTCCACAATTATCTGAGCCAGAAATTTGCTCCCATGCATTCCCCACAGCCTTCTGGGACACATCACAGGTGCCAGAAGACTGTGGGACAATTCGCGCATGCACAGTAGTAGGCTTTACTGCTGGTTTCCCTTACTTAAGAAGTCGGGGCTTGCATCCGAAGTGGACTAAAGAAGCAGTTTGGGTGAGGACATCACTGGATCTCTGGATAGATAAGTGTCCTTATATTAAAAGTCAGCAGAGAGAGTCTCTCTTTCGGACAGACATGGTAAAAAGGACAGGTGGTGGTGTCTGTCTCTATGTCAGACGTGATCTCAGATTGAGTGTGATCAAGTTGATGGAGAGTGTGATGAGACTGAAGCATTATGGGGATGCGTACTACAAAGGTAATCATTGGAGTTTGTTATAGGCATCCCAGTGTTAATGAGGAGGTAAAGACTCAGCTTCTTGCACAGATCGAAAGGGCTGCAAGGGCTCGGACAGTGATAATAATGGGGGATTTAACTACCCGGAAACTGACTGGAGTAATGGTACTATAGGAACAGTTAAAAGGCAAAAATGTATAAACCTACTACAGGACAATTTTATGGTACAGTTCATAGAGGCCTTAACTAGGAATGATGCTCTGCTGGACCTGGTAATCTCAAACCATGCAGAGCTTATTAGGAATGTCCATATAAAAGAACATTAGGGTAGCATGACCATAACATGATTTAATTTATTGTTAGCTGTAAACAGCAAACACATACGGGAAAAATAAAAACACCCAACTTTAAGAGAGCTAATTTTTCAAAGCTGAGAGCTGCTCTCCAAGACTTAGACTGGGAGGGAATATTGGCATTGATGAACACAACACAGAAATGGGAGTTCTTCAAAAAGACTGTATGTGAACACACTGCAAAATATATTCCCATGGGCAACAAGTTTAAAAGGCTAAAAATCAAACCTATTTGGCTTACGGCAAAAGTTAAAAAAGCTATAGATAATAAGAAAAGAGATTTTATTAAATATAAAAATGAAAGAAAGCTAACATCGTTTTTAAACATTACTAAAAATATTGCAGAATATAAAAAAGGAAGTAAAGGCTGCAAAAATTGAAAACTAACGACAGATTGAAAAAGACAGCAGGACAAACCTCCCCAAATTCTTCAAATATATTAATAGTAAAAAAGGTCAGGTCTGAGCATGTAGGCCCTTTACAAAATAATCTAGTGGGTGGCTGGGGACAAAGAGAAGGCAAATTTATTACATACCTTCGTCAGCCCTGTGTATACAAAGGAGCATGGGGGAGCTCTTGTCCATAATGGGCATGGTAATGATACAACTCCAGGTGATCCACACTGGCTCACAATTGATATGATCCAGAAATATTTAGGCAGAATAAACGTGAATAAAGCAAATGGACCGGATGGCATACACCCACGGGTCCTTAAAGAATTGAGCTCTGTCACTTCAAAGCCATTGTTTCTAATTTTTATGGACTCTTTAATGACTGGCATAGTACCACTGGTTTGGCATAAGGCCAATGTGGTGCCAATATTTATAAAGGAGAAAAGTCTTTACCAAGTAATTATAGACCTGTTAGTTTAACTTCTATAGTTGAGTAGATATTGGAGAGTTTAATAAAAGATCACATAGATGAGTTCTTCCTGGAAAAAAATATTTTAAGCAACAGGCAGCATGGATTCATGAAAGTCAGAAGTTGTCAAACAAATCTGATTTCTTTTTATGAGGAGGTGAACAAAACCTTGGACAGAGGGATGGCGGTGGACGTGGTATACTTGGATTTTGCAAAAGCGTTTGACACAGTTCCCCACACACGGCTAATGTGTAAGGTAAAGTCTACAGGCTTGGAAATATCTGTATGTAAATGGATAGAAAACTGGCTAAAAGATCGTATTCAGAGAGTAGTGGTTAATGATTCATACTCTGAATGGTCTAGGGTTGTCAATGGTGTACCCCAAGGTTCAGTGTTGGGACTCTTACTTTTTTTTAATATAATTTATAAACAATATAGGGTCTGGGATTAAAAATCCCATTTCAATCTTTGCAGATGACACCAAGCTGTGCAGTGGAATAACGTCCTTACAGGATGTCTTCAATTTACAAGCCGACCTCATGCACTGTTTAATTGGGCAACTATGTGGCAAATGAGGTTAAATGTTGATAAATGTAAGGTTATGCACTTGGGGGTTAAGAATATGCATGTATCATACATACTAGGGGGGGGGTACAACTGGGGGAATCAATGGTGGAGAAGGATCTGGGAGTTCTGGTAGATCACAAGCTTAATAATGGCATGCAATGCGAAGCTGCAGTTTCTTAAGCGAGAAAAATCCTCTCTTGTATTAAAAGAGGTATAGACTCCAGAGAGAGATATCATATTACCCCCTGTACAAATCATTAGTAACACCTCATCTGGAATATGCAGTTCAGTTTTGGGCACCAATTCACAAAACATTATGGAACTGGAGAAAGTACAGAAAAGGGCAACTAAACTGATAAGAGGCATGGAGGAGATCAGCTATGAGGAAAGATTAGAGGAACTGAATTTATTCTCTCTTGAGAAGAGGAGATTAAGGGGGGATATGATCAACATGTATAAATACATCAGTGGTTCATATAGTGAACTCGGTGTAGAGTTATTCACTTTGAGGTCATCACAGAGGACAAGGGGGCACTCTTTACGTCTGGAGGAAAAGAAAGGTAATCTCCAAACATGGAAAAGTTTCTTCACAGTGAGAGCTGTGAAAATGTGGAATAGACTTCCTCAAGAGTTAGTTCTGGCCAGGTCAGTGGATTGTTTCAAAAAAGGCCTGGATTGTTTCTTAGATACGCAGAATATAACTGGATACTAACATTTATAGGTAAAGTTGATCAAGGGAATATCAGATTGCCTCTCGGGGGATCAGGAAGGAATTCATTCTCCTGCGGGAGCAAATTGGATCATGCTTTTGCTGGGTTTTTTTTGCCTTCCTCTGGATCAACTGTGGGTGTAGGATTATACTTTTTTTTTTTTTTTTTGGTTGAATTGGATGGACTTTTGTCTGTTTTCAGCCAGACTAACTATGTAACAGTATTTGAAGCTGCTGACTTAATTTTTTTTTGGAAGAGCCTGGAGCTCCTTTTTTAACTGAACAAGCTGAAGTTAGCAGCTGATTGGATACCATGCACAGCTGCACCAGATTTTTCACTCTCCAGTTTTAGTAAATCAACCCATATGTGTTGTGCTGGTGAAACGCATTTTGTATGTACAGGCATGCTGCATTTTCAGCAAGCAGCACACCACAATGCAACGGGTTGTAGTGTGCTATATTGTGGAAATAAATGGCACTGCAACACACGTTGTGGGTTATTTACTAAAACTGCATGTTGCACAATCTGTGCAGCTCTGCATAGACACCAATCAACTTCCAAGTTTTACTGTCAATGCCTAATTGAACAAGATGAAGTTAGCAGCTGATTGGCTACCATGCACAGCTGCACCAGATTTTGAGTGCTCCAGCTTTAGTAAATCTTCCCCATTGTGTCCTAAATTAATATGTTACCGCAACATAGTGTAAATAAACCTAAAGTGGAAATCCAATCAAACTTTTTTATTTCTTTCTAAATATTGAATAGAGTTGTCAAAAGTTATAATCTACATTGTCAAAGATTTTCCCATCAGTTCCTGTGTAGGAAGCAAAGAAAAAAAAGTTTTGCTTGGTGGTCCACAACAGTTAATAATAAAAGCAAGCTACCTACTGACTGTACTCATTTCAGTTAGTCTGAGTACACTGGTAAATTCCCACTGAAGAGAGAACAGTAAAGTACAAAGTAGTAGTGTGAGTAGTAAGCAGATCATGCACATGCAGTGAGAAAAAATGGCTACCCCATGTACATAATTGATTACAGGTTATAAAGAGAGCCTTCATTAACCACTTGTACTCCAGTGCATTTACCCCCCCCTTCCTGATCAGGACATTTTTGTGATGCACTGCATTATTTTAACTGACAATTGCACAGTCATGAAACGCTGCAGATAAATGAAAATGATGTCCATCCCCCCCCTCCCCCCCACAAATAGAGCTTTCTTTCGGTGGTATTTGATAACCTCTGCAGTTTTTATTTTTTTTGAGTTTTTGCTATAAAACATAAAAATTTTTTTTTAAAAAATCAAATTTCGTCACACATTTAGGCCAAAATGTATTCTGCTACGTCTGTGCTAAAAAAAATCCCAATACATGAAAATTAATTGAAACAATATAAGTGCAGCGCTACAAATAATCTCCAAGTGACAATTATATACGATCATCAAATATAGGAATATTAAAGATGATAAACAGTTCAGTGATGGGGGACTCGCAGGGAGTATAGGTGTAATCCAATCCGGCGGCCCACCTATGGTTTTCACTGGTCAGTGTATAGAATCCTTTTTTTTTTTTCAAGCTGCTTATACTGGCTACAGGCTGCAGGCATGCGTTTTGTAACTTCTGTGGTTTTACGTATTTGGATTTTAATAAAATAATTTTAAACATACTACACTATGAGTATTTTTACTCCTTATACCTGGCATTGAGTTCCCATACCTCAGCCCCAGCATTTTTAGGTTCTTTGTGTGGATCCAAGGAGCAGTGTGATCCGACCAGGCCAGCATCGTCTTTACCACCAACGGACCATCTGGGTACTATAAAGCAGCGCCTACATGGGACCCCGGCTACATGAAACCTGTACATGCGTATTATAATTGCGCTTCTGGTAAGCAGGCAATTTATCTATTCCTGGGATTGGATTACACCTATACTCCCTGCGAGTCCCCCATCACTGAACTGTTTATCATCTTTAATATTCCTATATTTGATGATCGTATAGAATTGTCACTTGGAGATTATTTGTAGCGCTGCACTTATATTGTTTCTATTCTGGTTGGAAGGGCTTGTAGTTCCTTTTTTGCGCATTTGCCGCTCACTGGAGTGCGCTCACTTTTTCTTTATTTTATACATGAAAATTAATTGGTTTACGTGAAAGTTATAGCGTCTACAAATGGCAGTATATATACTGGAATTTTTATTTTTTTTTATATTAGTAATGGCCATGATCAGTGACTTACAGCATGACTGCAGCAGGCATTTTGACACTGGGTGAGAACTAACTGCCACTGACATCCCCAGTGACACTAATACAGTGATCAGTGCTAATAAAAAGCACTGTCACTGTACTAATTACACTGGGCAGGAAGGAGTTAACATCTGAGGCGATTAAAGGGTTAACTGTGTGCTGTGTTTTACATTATATTCTGTGTGTGTTTTACTTGGGAGACCTGCTGCTTTATATTTTTCTGCTGTGCAGAAAAATACAAAGGAGCATGTCCTTGCTGGAAGGAGAGAGACCTGTGTTTACACACAGGTCTCTCGCGTCAGCTTTCCCCAACGATCACCAGGTGCCGCGGGCTCCCTACCCGAAAATGAAAATCACATATATATATATATTTGAGCAGCCCTGTAGCAGTATTTCTGCTGCAGGGTGGGGGGAAAGTGGTTACATAGTGATTATTTTGTTACAGTAGACTTATTTGTACAATGCTACTGTGCTGTTTTCTCTCAGGTTTTAATTTTTGTTGGTGACCCCAATGGAGAAACTTTGACTCACTTTCCAATCCATGTGATACCTATACAAGAAATGGGGGAGTAGTTGTCACAGGGACATGAAGGCATGGACAGCAACAAAAGCACTCCATACAGCCTATCATCCTTGATATGCTGAGTGTTACAATGATATTGGGATGATGGTACTGTTATCAGGTCATCTACTGAGGTTGCAAAGTGTCACCAACACACCAGCATAAAAAAAACAAGAATTATTTACTATCACAATAACGTAATTTGATGTGTTGTGCCTGCAAAAGACCCTCTTTTCTGGGGCAACAGTCACTACAAATCAATGGGTTTTTTTGTACCTACAGTCTACTTTGAAGAAGAATCATGCAATTGATGGGTATCCTTAATTTGCTTGCATGAGATATCATTCCCAAATCTGCTTACCTTCAAGAATGAGGTCTGTGTTGGATCCAGTTTTGAGTTGCACTCAACCTACAAGCACATAGGTCAAATTATTAAAAAAAGAGAAAAAAAAAAATCATACTAAAGCAAGCCTTATTCACAATCTAGATCCATTAAGACTTACCACTGCGTCCTCATGAGGAGCCTGATCACCAACTACTAGCATCACAGGACATCTGCAATTAAGTATTAGGCAAGTTAGAAAGGTATACCCAGGAGGATTTCTGCAAGTAGCATGTCATGACACAGACACTTACTTTAGGGTGACATCTCCACCACGCTCCAAGTTCAAATCCCGGCGACTTTAATAAAACAAAAGATGCATAGATGATTTAGAAACAATATGAACAGAGAAGACAACCAAACAAGATTGGTTCTTTTTTCTGCAAAATCCAGACATAAGTAAATTTCTACGCTAAACAAACTTATAAATATTTCCAGTTTTAGTTATTTCTGGGAAAAAATGTTCAGTGGTCAATAAATAGGTTTTAGTTAGAGTACATCTTTTAAAAGTATATTTTTTTATTAGAATGGGGAATGGATAGAATCACGATTAATGCATTTTTGATTTTATAAAACGAAGTACTGATTGTAGTGGTACCGTCAAAGTCCTATTAGTTGTGTTTGAAAAGAATTTCTTTACAATTTTATCTCTATGTGTGTTCCTGTTGAGATTTAACCTCACTTCCTGTATTTGTGACCAAACAGGAATGGAGGAGACACACCCAGTGAGAACACAGCAATAAAAACCTGATAGGGTATCTCACTCTAATTTAAAAAAAAAAAAAAAAAAAAAAAGTTAGAGATATTATTTCTGGTCCTAAAGGAAGTGAAATTATATCTAGCTAACTATTACATAAACAGAAATATAAATAATATAAATAGAAGTTCTATCCTTTCAAACACTGCTTAAAAAAAAGTTTTGACTTAAGTGAGTCTATAAAATTGCATATTTACAGAAATCGAGCCAGTCAAGTGCTAACTAAGCCTATTCCTAATGTGGGCAAAGCAAACTAAGGTTACTTTCCATAACAGGTGAATGTTAAAATCATATAGTTTTGAGAATATAAGCAACTAAAGATCTATACAAATCTTGACTTTTCCTGTAAAAATTTGAGCTCAGCTCCACCCATTCAACTGGTTGAGGGGCAGCCTCAATGACCAATAAGGGGGCTTCCTGAGACGTTGCACATGCAGGTCCACATTAAAAGAAGCGGTTCTAAAGCTAAAGCACCAATGAAATTTTGTTTTAAATGTTTTGTTTCAATAATGTTTGTTCGATCTTCTATTTATTAGTGGGGTCAAATTCACAGTCTTCTTCGACCTCAATGATGAGAAAATTTTAAGAAGCAGAATGAAAAATGCTTCTAAAATTTCTAACAGTGAATATGTGCTAGTATTTGCCCAGTTTAAAGTGGAATGTCACTCTCTCAATCATAATTGACTATATTGAATCCTTATGCTGCTAACATTAGCAACTAGATAGGAAAATACACTATATTGCCAAAAGTATTGGGACGCCTGGCTTTAGACGCACATGATCTTTAATGGCATCCCAGTCTTTGTCCGTAGGGTTTAATATTGAGTTGGTCCACCCTTTGCAGCTATACCAGCTTCAACTCTTCTGGGAAGGCGGTCCACAAGGTTTAGGAGTTTGTCTGTGGGGATGTTTTACCATTCTTCCAGAAGTGCATTTGTGAGGTCAGACAATGATGTCGGACGAGAAGGCCTGTCTTGCAGTCTCCTCTTTAATTCATCCCAAAGGTGTTCTATGGGGTTGAGGTCAGGACTCTGTGTAGGCCAGTCAAGTTCCTCCACCCCAAACTCGCTCATTCATGTCTTTATGGACCTTGCTTTGTGCACTGGTGCGCAGTCATGTTGGAATAGGAAGGAGCCATCCCCAAACTGTTCCCACAAAGTTGGGAGTATGAAATTGTCCAAAATGTCTTAAGAGTTCCCTTCACTGGAACGAAGGGGCCAAGCCCAACCCCTGAAAAACAACCCCACACCATAATCCCCCCTCCTACAAACTTTACAATTGGCACAATATGGTCAGCCAAGTACCATTCTCCTGGCAACCGCCAAACCCAGACACGTCCATCGGATTGCCAGACAGAGAAGTGTGATTCATCACTCCAGAGAACACGGCTCCATTGCTCTAGAGTCCAGTGGCGGTGTGTTTACACCACTGCATCCGATGGTTTACATTGCACTTGGGGATGTAAGGCTTGGATGCAGCTGCTCGGCCATGGAAACCCATTCCATGAATCTTCCTACACACTCTTGTGGTGCTAATCTGAAGGCCACACGAAGTTTGGAGGTCTTTAGCTATTGACTCTGCAGACAGTTGGCAACTTCTACGCACTGTGCTCTTCAGCATGTGCTGACCCTGCTCTGTCATTTTACGTGGTCTACCACTTTGTGGCTGAGTTGCTGTTGTTCCCAGTTGCTTCCACTTGGTTATAATATCACTACCAGTTTATCGTGAAATATTTAGTAGCAAGGAAATTTCACAGATGGACTTGGTGGCAACCTATCACGGTACCACGCTTGAATACAGTGAGCTCTTGAGAGCAACCCATTCTCTCACAAATGTTTGTAGAAGCAGTCTGCATGCATAGGTGCTTGATTTTATACACCTGTGGTCATGGGGGTGATTGGAACACCCTAATCCAATGATTTTGAGGGGTGTCCCAATACTTCTGGCAATATAGTGTATATTATATTTACTGGTTTTAAACTGTTTTTTACATTTCTTTAGTCATTTTCTAGTTGCAATACCTAGGCAAATGATGTCATATATCCCAGGAGCCTTCGGGAGCGAAGGAGGGGTTTTTCACACCCTTCTGCCTGTAAACCTGAGCTTAGAGCAGAAGGATTCCATGAAGTAATTGCTACAGGAATCATCTGCCCTTACAGGAATCATCTGCGAGAGGGTGTTTGTCTAAGTGATTTATCAGCAAAATAAAGCATGGAGACATGGATGGATGGGGGAGTTTGCTTACTATTAAAAATGAATTAAATAGCACTTTTGGATTGTGGTGTTCAGATACAGTGTAATTGCGCTTTAAGATACCTAAAAGCAAGGCATCTTCAATGAAAAACCTTGATACGTTTTACACTAAAATGTGGAGAAAAGCTGAACTCCCTTGCAGCAAGTTAAAACAAATCAGGCCTTCTAGGACTATCCTATAATCCACTACTGTCAAGAGTCTTCCCGGGATTCCCATCCTTTCAGCAATATTCGATTTCAGCATATCTTTTTTTTTTTTTTTTTAAAGTGGTCTATGTATAAAACATTTTCATTCACAAATGTTTGCCTTCTTGTTCATGATATCCACTTAAGCTCCAAGACATATTACCCCCTTCATTACCAGGACATTTTTTGCTATACCGCACTGCACTACTTTAACAGTCTCCCACCCACCATATAAGGAAATGATGAGAGGGCGGCGGTTCTCTCATTCTGGGAGGACGCCATATGACGTCCTCCCACTCTAGCAGCACATGTGCCCCTAGTGATCGATGGTGTGCCATGTCCCTGGGACACAGCAGATCACCGATCACAGCAAAGAGCCAGTGACGTAGGCTCTATCATGTGATCAGCTGTGTCCAATCACAGCTGATCGCATGTAAATAGGAAATGCTGGTTGATCGGCAGTCCTCTCCTTACACTGACAGCATGTGAGGAGAGGAGAGCCGGTAAGCGGCATTTCTCAGAGGGGACATGTGCCCTGATTATCAGTGTAGCCCCATCAGTGCCACCTGTCAGTGTCCATCAATGCCACTTGTCAGTGCCCATCAGTGTTACATAGTGACAAAAAGGTAGCACGAGCCTGATAAAGGGGTCCTGCGAGACTCTGAAACGTTGCCTTGCTGTAACTATGACCATTCATTAAAACCTTTGGATATTGGTGATCCTCGGTGTGCTGGTGACATTCTCCCTTGCTTTCTTGTGTGGATGCCAAAACCTTTTAACCACTTCTTGTCCGGCTCATGTATATAAATGGCTGGGTGGCCGTTTATAAATGTCCTCCCCGCTTTCCTGCTTGTGCGCGCTCCTTGGGACCGCGCAGGACTGCGATCCGGTGCCCACTGTGTCCTCCGGACACAGCGGAATCCCGATCGTTGTACAGGACCTCTGTGTGAGGTACCGATCGCATGAATGGTAGTAAACAAGATGTCACTTCTGACATCATTGCTTACTATGTGTGAAATCTGTGAATGATCACAGAGATCACATGGTACAAGGCTATTCACAACAGCCTTGTACCATGACAAGCTGTGACCAATCACAGCTCACACAGCATTTCTAAATGGCTGCCAGAGAGAAGGAGAAATTATTGCTTTTACAGCCTTTATGGGTGTAAAAGCAATCAGTGTAAAAAAAAAAAGAAAAAATCTTCATCACCCCCCACTAGTAGTACAGTGTCACTATGGTGACACTGTACTACTAGGGTGACAGTATGTAAAAAAAAAAAAACAAAACAAAAAAAAAACCAATACAAAAAAAAATAAAAATTAAAAAAAAAAAATTATAATTTTTGGTTATAAACAAATTTGGGTTATTTTTGTTTTTTACTAAAATTTTAACTGAATACATTTTGGCCAAGATTTATGAAGAAAGATTATTTATTTGAAAAATTTTATAAGAAAAACACGTTTTTTCAAAATTTTTGGACTTTTTCATTTATATAGCAAAAAAAAAAAAAAAAAAAAAAACCCCAGTGGTGAATAAATACCACCAAAATAAAGTTTTATCTGTCTCAAAAAAAATGCAAAAAATTTCATATGGGTACAGTGTTGCATGACCGCGCAATTGTCAAAGTATGATAGCACTGAAAGCTGAAAATTGGCCTGGACAGGAAGGGGGTAAAAGTGTCCGGACTTGAAGTGGTTAAGCATTGAAAAAGAATAACAATAATCTAAACAGAATATTATATTTTTATACACAATTGTGAATAAAAATATGTTATGAGCCAATGTATTTCCTATTACCTGCAAGTATCTCTGGTTACCTGCAAGTATCTCTGGTTAGGACTAGAAGATGTCAAAGCTAACAATCTATTTGCATTTTCTTACCTATTGTAACTGTTCCAGTACAGCTGGTTGTTGCTGACGATGGGGGAGCTTAAGATGGCGGTTTTGTACTGACGCACACTGTCTGAGTTGCTTGAAAGCTCTTCCTGCACAAACATAACATGGCGGAGTTAATCAGCTCTCCTACCCAGATGTGTAACTGGGAATCCAATATTAGGAGTGTGCTTCTACTTACTGCACTGAAGAGATGAGAGAGAATCATTTCCGGGATGGAAGATGTCAGGCCTGAAAGCTGCAGTAGGCAAAGACACACCATATGGTCAGAAATGCATTGAAAAGAGAAATTCTTCAAATTAAACAGAGGCAGACAGTCAGTCAGGTTTTGTAGTTAGCAGGAGAAGGCAAGAACAAGAAAAAAATAAATAATTACAACTATATAGGGGCATTTTCTTTGAAATAGAACTATTTATAAGTCAGTATAAAGAAATGTCAGCCCTCACCATCACCCTACCACAACACCGTACCTTTAAACAAAAATAAGCCAGCAAAATCTTATTGGTTGATTGATTTCCCCAATTTAGAAAAACATAGCTTAAAGAAGTACTGTCAGCAGCCCATTCAGGTCAGAATGACAGCACCTCCTAATAAACTTCATCCCCTTCCCCATCAAGTAATGCTTTTCCATCCACACTCCTTTGGTGTCAGTGTTTACTCAGGTAGATGTCATCATTACCCCCTCCCTATGTGACAATGTTCAGGCCGGCCAATTAGTGGCTCAGGCCAAAGCGCTGTCACATTGGGAGATCACATGCTCCCTCAAAAACCCTGTGCCTTTAGGTAGAGACAAAGGGAAAGGAGGGTAGGGGGTGACAGAGGGGTTAACTTAACCCTTTGGCACCGGCGCCTCCCGGCCCTTTAAGGGTTTCAGAAGCCGGGAGGCGGGCGGAATTTTAGGGTCATGTGACCGCCGTCACCATGGTCACATGATCGGGAAGAGATCGGGACCTTTCCGTGAGTACTGGACATGTGTGCTGGGAGAGCACAGGGCGCGCACTCTCAGCACAATATGTTTTTCTTAATTGCACGCAAATGTGCGGCAGCTCGGCGTCAAGGCCCAGAAAAAGGAGATCGGGACCTTTCCGTGAGTAGCGAACATGTGTGCTGGGAGCGCGCAGGGCACACACTCTCAGCACATATGTTTTTCCTAATTGCATGCAAATGTGCGACCGCTCGACATCAAGGCCCAGACGCCAGGAGGCCGCACATTTGCGAGAGCGGCCGGCATGAAGAGGTTAAGCAAATAGACTCCACTATGTAGGTACAGTTGTGCTCACTTTCCAAAGCTTAGTGAATGTGGTGAAGCTTCATTTTGTAAAGAATACTCAATCAGGTACAAGGAAAAGCAAAAAAAATGCATTTTTACTTGCACATGATTGGATGATGGAAATCAGCAGAGCTTCACCAAATTCACTAAGCTCTGGGGAAAATGAGTGCAACTGTACCTAAAAAGTGTACAGTCTATTTGCCTTTAGTAAATCAAGCCCAGTGTCCGTTTAAGACCTGGTTCACATCAATGCATTGCGGATCCTGTGTGTTTCATGCACCGCATTGCGTTCATGTGATCTGGTGCAGGTGTCAATAATAAATTAATGACACCTTGAAACAGATCGCAAAATGAGTTACGATTGCCAGAAATCACATCGCATGGGTGTTCTCACCCATGCAACGTGATTCAGGTGCGGATTTAAAAAAGGGTTCTGCACTTTTCTGGTGCGGATGCGATGCCATTTGAGCCATAAAATTGTATGTCTCAAATCGCCCCACACAGACATTTGCATGTCCCAGGCGAAGAATATTAAGGACATTCACTTTTTTTTTTTTTAAGAAAATGAAGCCACCCTAAACCAACAAAGAAGTATATTGATGTTTAAAAGAGAATTGCAGGTTTAGTTTCACTTTAAAATAGTTTGCTTGGGCCATAAAAAATGATTTCCATGCCAGAACAGTCTGGCCCCTGAGGCTGCTGTAATATACTATAGTAGTATTAGCTACTTACAGTAAGCGCAGCTGTGTCCCAGCAGCAGTACAAGAGGCTTCCCTTCTGCTGCCGGATATAAAATGAACAGGTCTTCGTGCATATCCGTCATTCAGGAGGAAGCTTGTATTTTTATCAATATTACAAGGCTTCTTCTTATTGGCCAAGGAGGAAATTGTGACATCATTCACCACCTCTCCAAAATTGATAGAAAAAACAAGACTTCTCCTGAATGGCAGAGATGCGCTAAGATTGACAGCAGAAGGGAAGTCGCTTGCACTGCTGCAGGGACACAGTCCCTCTTACTGTATGTAGTTAATACTACTACAGTATATTAGAGCAGCTACACGTGCCCCTTACTGTATGTAGGTAATACACTACAGTATATTACAGCAGCCATTTGCAAATACATGCATACGCTGCAGAGCCTCTTCATGGCACCCCAGTATTTTCTGAAGTTCTAACTCTATAATTTTAAGAGCTTCCATAGTAGAAGTACATGTATAATATTGGATAGACTGAGGGCAGGTTAGCCTGGAGGGAGCCCAGCCCACCTTAAAGGCACATGGGCGCACTGGACACCCAGCATATAAGACAATGGCAGCCTAGGTGTCCAGTGCGCCCCTCACCAGTATATCAACAGTACAAACAAAAGGCAACTGCCCCAACCTATAATTGGCAGCCTTTGCAGCAGGGAGCACATGGAAGTGTGACACATGTCAAACAACAATAAAGAAAATTTCCCAGCTCAACTTACCAGCCAGCCTGCAACCAACCAAATTGTCCTGTCAAACAGTTTGCACTAAAAACAGGGGTTTAGATTACACACATTTGCAAATACATGCATAATCTGCAGAGCCTCTTCACAGCACCCTGGTATTTTCTGCAGTCCTAACTCTATAATTTTGAGAGCCACTGTGCTATATGCTGGGTGTTCAGTGCACCCCTGTGCCTTTAAGTAGGGGTGGGCTCCCTCCAGGCTAACCTTCCCTCAGTCTATCCGTTATTATACATATGCTTCTACTATGGAGGATCTCAAAATTTATAGAGTTATAAATTTATAAAGTTACTGCAGAAAATACTGGGGTGTGTCGTGAAGAGGCTGTTAGGACAATTCGGTAGGTTGCAGGCTGGCTGGCAAGTTGAGCTGGTAATTTTTCTTTTTTGTTGTTTGAGAGTATATTACAGCAGCCCCAGCGGCCACACCATTCTGGCATGGAAATAAATTTGCTTGGGCCACAAACTAATTAAAGTGAAAGTAACCCTGAATTCTCTTTTAACATCAAGACATTATTAGCACATCTTTCAGACCATACGTATTTTGGCTATTTTAATACCACATTTTGTAAAAGATCAGGATAGTAAGTGGAATGTCAAGTGTTGACAAGAAAAAAAAATAAAGCCACCCTTTATTAAAAGGTGGTTGTGGACAGCAACCCAGATATCAGCTTGAAAATGCATAAAAGAATATAGGTTTACAAACACAGAATAGTTACTGGTGCTATACCACGCATATATATATATATATATACACACATATATTATATATAAATATAGTATTATCACTATATATGTATTATTGGCAAGGAAAACACACACACCACATCGCACATATATATATATATATATATATATACACACACATACATATACATATATATATATATATATACACACACTTCATTCATGTCACTGAACAGCAGTGACATATTGGGGGTTATTTACTAAAATAGGAGAAGCACAAGATCTGGTGCAGCACTGCATAGGAACCAGCTTCCAGGTTTTATTGACAAAGGTTAATTTAACAAGCTGACGTTGAAAGCTGATTGGCTACCATGCATGGCTGCAGCCGATTCTGAGTGTATCGGTTTTAGTAAATCTCCCCTGCAGTGTCATCCAGTGTGGCGTGGAAAACTTTTTTCACACTACATTGCAGATCACATTACACCAGTGTTGTGGTGTAAACAGGGAACATAGTTTACAACTGTTTTCTATGTGCCCCAGTGGTGACTTGCATGTATCCATTGCGGAAAAACACAGGTCACCACACAGTGTGAATTAACCCCTAAAAACAAATTAGACCTCACCTTATGTGCTGCCCAGTCCATCCAACCTTTGGCATTTGGGTCAATATTAACGAGAACTAGACCTTCCACTGTATTGGGGTGAGCAAGCTGTAGGAAAAAAAGATATGACTGTGAAAAAATGCCATTGTGGGCTACAGATGTCATTTTTATTTATAACTGTACCTTCACTTAATATTTTACATTTGTGGCTGGCCCAGCAACCTCTAAAAAGGAAAATGGGTTACCTTAACTAAAGAGAAACCTGTTTAAGGCCTCTTGCTTACTGCAGCTTAAAAAAGCTCAGTTCATTGTTTTTTTTACTGAGGTAAAATGTAGCCCATTATTTACAATGTACTTTTGCACACAGGTGCGTATAGAAGCACTGCATATTCCTCAGTAAAAAAAAAAAAAAAAAAAATTAGGAAAGTCTTTTGGTCAGTAATTTACTCAGCGTGTGTGCAAATGCGCATAAATATGCTCAATAATGCGCATATGAGCATATTTTTTTACAATACAGGATGCTTATTGTAAAAAGAAATAAAGTACAATACAACTGAAAAACCACACATTTGTTTGACATGGCAGACGTAGTTCAATACAAATGTAAAAATAGCTGTAATCTGTACAGCATTCAATATGAAACAAGAAAAAAGACACACAGTAGTCAGGGGTGTGGAAATTTTTTTAAAAACTACTTGTCCAGGGACTAAATCGGGGTCCCAATCTACTTGTCCCTCACGACGATCTACTTGTCCTGATAAAAAAATTTTTTTTTTTTTAACCAAAACTGTATTTAATTAAGGCTGACCATCCTTTCACTCAGCAATCACACCTCTGACCATACCTACAGAGGTGGCGTGCTGAGAGTGGGAATGGTCAGAGGTGGCATGCGGAGGGTGGGGATGGTCAGAGGTGGACTGCCGAGCGTGGGGATGGTCAGAGGTGGACTGCCGAGCGTGGGGATGGTCAGAGGCGGCCTGCCGAGCGTGGGGATGGTCAGAGGCGGCCTGACGAGCGTGGGGATGGTCAGAGGCGGCCTGACGAGCGTGGGGATGGTCAGAGGCGGCCTGACGAGCGTGGGGATGGTCAGAGGCGGCCTGCCCGAGCGTGGGGATGGTCAGAGGCGGCCTGCCGAGCGTGGGGATGGTCAGAGGCGGCCTGCCGAGCGTGGGGATGGTCAGAGGCGGCCTGCCGAGCGTGGGGATGGTCAGAGGCGGCCTGCCGAGCGTGGGGATGGTCAGAGGCGGCCTGCCGAGCGTGGGGATGGTCAGAGGCGGCCTGCCGAGCGTGGGGATGGTCAGAGGCGGCCTGCCGAGCGTGGGGATGGTCAGAGGCGGCCTGCCGAGCGTGGGGATGGTCAGAGGCGGCCTGCCGAGCGTGGGGATGGTCAGAGGCGGCCTGCCGAGCGTGGGGATGGTCAGAGGCGGCCTGCCGAGCGTGGGGATGGTCAGGGGATGGTCATGGTCAGAGGCGGCCTGCCGAGCGTGGGGATGGTCAGAGGCGGCCTGCCGAGCGTGGGGATGGTCAGAGGCGGCCTGCCGAGCGTGGGGATGGTCAGAGGCGGCCTGCCGAGCGTGGGGATGGTCAGAGGCGGCCTGCCGAGCGTGGGGATGGTCAGAGGCGGCCTGCCGAGCGTGGGGATGGTCAGAGGCGGCCTGCCGAGCGTGGGGATGGTCAGAGGCGGCCTGCCGAGCGTGGGGATGGTCAGAGGCGGCCTGGCGTGGGGATGGTCGAGGCGGCCTGCCGAGCGTGGGGATGGTCAGAGGCGGCCTGCCGAGCGTGGGGATGGTCAGAGGCGGCCTGCCGAGCAAGGGGATGGTCAGAGGAGGCCTGCCGAGCAAGGGGATGGTCAGAGGAGGCCTGCCGAGCAAGGGAATGGTCAGAGGCGGCCTGCCGGGCGTGGGGATGGTCAGAAGCGGCCTGCCGGGCGTGGGGATGGTCAGAAGTGGCCTGCCAAGCGTGGGGATGGTCAGAGGTAGCATGCCAAGCGTGGGGATGGTCAGAGGTAGCATGCCAAGCGTGGGGATGGTCAGAGGTAGCATGCCAAGCGTGGGGATGGTCAGAGGTAGCATGCCACGTCTGATTGTAAGCTCTAACAAGAAGGCCCCTCGGTTTCCTCTCGTACCAAATTGTATTGTAACTGTTATGTCTACCTTCATTTTGTAAAGCGCCACGCAAACTGTTGGCGCTATATAAATCCTGCATAATAATAATTATCCCTATGTTCAGCAATCACAAAGTACAGTGCTGTGTGTGGATGTGGCAGGTGGAGTAGATAAGTAGTAATAGGACAGAGTTTGATGTGTGTTGCCATTGATATGTCCTGTATGGTGGTCCGGTTCCTAAGGCCACCCGCCACGTGTGTGTTCTGCAGCAGAGTGTATGCAGACGGAGGGATACAAATGGAGAGAAGGAGAGTGAGTGCTGAGGTGAGGGGTGCGGGAAGGGTGGCTTGTCAGCGTGTCCAAGAAGGAGGAGGAGAGTAAGAAGTGTGGGAGTGGCCAGGACTGATCGGGGCCACAGAGCAGAGTGGATGGGCTGAGGGAGCCGCCGAGCTAGTGAGAGGCTGGCGAAGAGGGGACTGTTTGCATCGGACAGCAGCATGGATGAGTGGAGAGCATGTTAACTCTGATGTAGCATGAAGATCTGTTCATGCTTCACCGGTGTCTGCTCCGCAAAAAATAAAAAAAGTAAACCCTGCTGCTTGCCCGCTTTAGCAGGGCTAAATGTAAATAAAATCCACCTGCCCAATGCCCAGAACTGCATGTCCCGGGGCGTCAGGTGATATGAATTGCACATCCCTGGTAGTTATGATATAAGAAATTAGAAATGCTGTGTTCAAGTTAAGTCCAGGGAAAAACCAGGGTGTAAGGGACCAACCAAAAATAGAAAGCATAGAAGCGTAAATATTAACACATTTTCCCTAAGTATATATTGTTCACGCAAATGTGCGAACGTGCATAAATACGTGTGAATACACGCAAAACAATTACGTCCAAAAAAGCAGATTCTCAAACATCAGTATTATGTGCAAGAGGTCTTAAACAAGAATACCAGCATTCTCCTGGTTCTGAGTACATTCAACTGAAAAATCTGCATTCAGGAGAGGGAACGCTCATGCATCCCACTGAAAAACAAGTCACTTGTCTCCAAAGAGCACACATTGTTGATGGCCAGGAGCAGCTTGTTTTTGAAACAAAGATGGATGCTAACACAAAACCAGGCCATTCTGCTAAAAAAAAAAAAAAAAAAAAAAATGGATTAACCATCATAACTGGCATTTGAGGCTGCAGGGAAAGTACAAATGTAGATTTCATATATGAATAAAAAACATAATACAATTATGTATACATTACAAAAAAGCCTAGGTGAACATAAAGTACACAAATTAATGCAGCTCTGTAATCACTCACACACAATGAAATGTACTTTTCAATTGCAAGCAATGTAAATACTTGGATTTAACCATCTATTAACTTTTTACAGTGCCTGTACAGCAAGGTTAGAGTGTGTGAGAAAGAGGCATTATAAGGAATCAATCAATTCACGTGATGACAAGACACATGCTGATCTAGGAACAGAAAGCCCAGTAACAAATACACTCACCGGCCACTTTATTAGGTACACCTGTTCAATTGCTTGGTAACACAAATTGCTAAACAGCTAAATCACATGGCACCAACTCAATGCATATAGGCATGTAGATGTGGTGAAGACGACTTGCTGTCATTCAAACAGAGCATCAGAATGGGGAAGAAAGGGGATTTAAGCGACTTTGAACATGGCATGCTTGTTGGTGTAAAATGGGCTGGTCCTGTGTGAACCCACACCCACAATTATAGCCAGAGTTCATACAGGAGAGATGCAGGAAACCTCCCTGCATGGATCCCAGGCTGAGCGGAGAGCGGGCCTGTGGGGATGTATATTATGGAGGAAGTTGCTCTATATTCTCATCGGTAGGAATTTGAAATCCCCGCCACTTTCTCTCCTCTCCTTGCAGCAATGACAGTTTGAGCTAGAGGGCTTTGATTGTTCAGCACTGTCACATGGACGGTGCTGATCAATCAGATGCTGTCTAGCCTGAACTGTAATTGCTGCAAGGAGAGGAGAGAAAGCTGAGGGGATTTCATATCCCTGCTGCTTTATCTCCTCTCCTACCGCTGAGAATATGGAGCACCTGCCTCTATAGTATACATCACCACACGCCCACTTTGCTCTCAGATCCATGATCTATGACAAGCCTGGGTTCACACAGGAGCAGTGGGGAAAACCACATGCGATTTGGACAGGAATCAAATTCCTGTTCAAATCATATGCTAATCTTAACAGTGCAATCTTTATCGACGCAAATCGCACCGTAAAGTATTGGTTTCCACTATTGAGAGCATTTTCACAAATACTCGTGAAAATACACAGTATTGACACAGACACCGGTATCGATGCATCCCTACTTTATATGAATACTAATCTTTGCATGATCTAAGAAGGACAAAACTTTCTGGAACTAATGTTTGAGATATGTGTACAGATGTTCTTACTGGACAGATAATGAACACCTTTGTCACTTTGTGGGGTGACACAATTACTAAAGCAACTGCATATGCTTGGAACAAGTTTTAATTACTTTGCATCAACCATATAAGTGAGGGTTAGGGACTGATGTGAATGTACAATATATATGTAAAGCGCTGCTTAAATTGATGGTGCTATATAAGTACCTGAAATAAATAATAATAAGTATTTTGCATGTATTAATATTGGTAACATTTAGTTGAAGTGTTGTTGTATGAATTAACCCATTATTTGGAGGGTCATTTAGCTAGTGTGCAAATTTAGACAGAAGTACTGTCATAGCCAGTTGCTCTGGTCCATCGCCATTTTGCTATATTTATTATATAAATAAATGCATAGCTAAATCTCTGAGCCGAGGCTGTTGCGAGTGGCTGCATTACTACAATACAGGTATACCACCATCAATATTCTGCCCCAACTTGTTATTAAACTGAAAGGTCCATCTACGCACAATATTGCATTTTTGGTGAACGCCGGAGGGTTGAATCACCTACTGGCTATTTAGATCACTTGGAGATGTGGACATCAAGGACTCT